TAGGTCAACAACTAGATATATTCCATTGATGGCCTCCTCTTCAAGTGTTAACAAGGCTGACTTTGTTCACAAATTCAAGTCATTCCTTTCTTCTAAAGGTAATACTCCAATTGTGAAATATGAGTTGGATACATATTTGGAAGAATCAGTGGTTCCAATTGAGACAGAAAACAGTTTTGATATTTTGGGTTGGTGGAAGGTTATTGGGATTCGATTTCCTACATTACAAATGCTTTCTAAAGATATCTTTGCCACTCCCATATCCACGGTTGCTTCAGAATCGGCTTTTAGTACTGGTGGAAGAGTTGTTAGTTCACATCGTAGCAAGCTTAATCTAGATACAATAGAAGTATTGATGTGTCTTCAAGATTGGTTAAGAACAGATCTCAAAGGTATTAAGTTTATGTTTCTTTTATTTTTTTTATGTATTTATTTTTTGTTATTTAATTAAGTAGTTAATTTTTAATTTAAATTTTCATATTTGAAATAGGTTCTTTGGATGATATATGTTTCTTTACTCAAAATGAGGATATGGATTGTGATGAAGACAATAATTCAGAGGTAAATATGCATGACCCTTTTTTATACTAATGATATAAACAACTTTTTTTATAAATATGTTAACATAAAGTATTTACTAATTGTATTTACTAATTGTATTGTAGGTCTTTTTATGAGCAATTGTGGATTTTGAGAGTTAAAGTGTTTTGAGTTGGTTCTTGGCTGCTTCTCTTCATGTTGAATGTTGGTTTAGTTTAGTTATTTTATTTATGTTGGGTTGATTTTTGCCTATATTTAGAACAAGTATGTTGCTTTATGTTGGATTAATTTCTATGTATATTTGGAACAACTTATGTTTGGAACATGTTGCTTTATGTTGGATTAATCTCTATTTGGAACAATTTTATTGATTTAATTATTTGTGTTAACTTAATTTTTATTTATGTTTGATGCAAAAAATGTATACTTTGTTATTACTTGGTGGGGAATGGGGATCTCCGCGAGGATCCCCATTCCCCGTGGGGAACGGGGACGGGGACGGGGGGCAAAATCTGCCCCTCGTAAAAAATCCCCGCGGAGATCCCCGTCCCTACCATTCGCGGGGACGAGGACGGGGAGGCACTCCCCGACCCCACGGGGCCCCGTTGACATCCCTAAGTTCAATCTGCGCCGAATCAAGGGCACATCATTTTCTGCATCGGAGTCTTCATGAGCATGCCTCCAGGTCTCAACATAAATGGTTTCTACTCTGCGCTTGGCTTGTGGCCATGAGGCTGAGCTGGAGCCTCGCTCCCTCTGTGACAAGCTGCGAGGTGCTGCAGGCGGCTGCTCGTCAAAGCGTGTTTGCCTCTGCGTGCTAGACCTAGTCCTTCTAGCTCATGAGCGCTACCTCTCAAGCACGCTACTCATCTCTCCTGCACAAACACATGCAATAAGACTCAGCTCGTGAAAAACAGTAATTTACAATAAAATTGTACCTTCATTGAACAGGTTTGTGACATCCACAAACCCACACAAAGTGAGCACCTCAAGGGTAACCAGGGCTTCTAAATCAACTAACCCCACTCCCTTCACATAGTTCGTTATTCGGTCCTTAAGCTCCAGGTCATCTGGGGTTAGCATGGGGTAGTTCATGTACGCATGCCCTGAGCGCCACTCAGAGAGGCAAGCTACCAGATCGTTGCTAACCCTCTCTGTTCGCGTATCCTGGACAAAAATGAATTGTCTCTTCCAACGAGATACCTTATTTCTCACGTTCGTAAAGATCACCCTTTTTTCTCGCCCAGAAATGTAGTACCACCTCGTCTGTGTGGTACTCAGCCGGCATAAGAAGAACGATCTGAACACGATTGCCTTCGCAGGTATCTCCAACCTCGAGCACAATAGCATAAATCTTATGATAAATTTTATGTTGTTCGGGGTCAACTGTGTCATCACCAGCTTGTATTTTGAGAGAAGGTCAAAAATCAACCCAGGCAAGGGGAATCTCAGGCCAGCGTTGAAGTGGTCCACATATACGGGTATCCACCCTGCTGCTGACACACTACAAGCCCTTTCATTTTTGGTGCCAATTCGTACCAAAAATGTCCTAGGAACATGATACTGCCTCACCACTTCCTCCAGTCTTTTGTACCCTTTAATGGAGGTGGCGCAATCCGTTACCTCATGGTGCAGGTTTGCTCTAAACCTAAATACGGCCGTCAATGTATGTGGCGCTTTACGAAGGTTACTCAGCCTGCCACCTATAGTTTTATTCTCCCAACCTACAACCACGGGCACATCTACAGCCACCTCCATACTTTCCAGCGAAGGGCTACTTGCACCCTCCTCTACATTTTCTCTGGCACTTGGAGTATTTTTTTATGACGACCCTTCAGACAACGAAGAAGGGTTAGCACAGGAGCCCTCGTGCGTGCTTGAACTGGCACTACTCTCGGGTGTAAGGGTCTCCGGCAAGTCTTGCAATTCCGGCGGTACAATCATCGCAATTGGTTCTACAGATATCACGCTCTCTCCCCCTTCCATGCCCTAGTTACCCCGAAGTTCTCCAACTTCTCTAACAAATTCCATTTGTTATTACCTGAAAAATTGACTGTGGAATTCTCTGAGAATGTCGCCTGAAAACTGTGGAAGTCCTTTGTTGCAGAAGAATACAGAGAATATGGAAATACAATGCCAAAGCAAGAACAGGGGTGAAAGGGGTTAAGTGACCGTGCCCATCATTACCATACATGCCTTTCTGCCAACTAATCAAAATGTTACGCGTGGCAGGTACTTATTGCTTAGCGTGTAACGTCCATCGGCTTTAACTGTCACGTCTCTTCAAACGCTGAACCAACATTTATTAGGGGGGGATGGGGAATACTAACCGCTCTGAACCGTATCTCTTCACAGATTTCGTAGATTTAAATGACAAGGACTAGCTCGTAACAAATCAGAGATCTCCTCAAAGATTTGCTCTTAATTCAAAATTTGAAAATCTCGAGAAATTTGCTCGTTACTAATCCAAGATCTCTTCAGAGATTTCAAACTCGAAAAGTCTTTAAAGATCAGGTCATAACAAATCAGAGATTCACCTCAGTTTTAAAAATCGGGCTTTAGATCGTAACCAACTTCCTCAAATTTACTCTATATCCCAGAGATCTATATTGTAGTAATGAGTGATGTCGCGCATTGCAGCCCATCTAGGTCGGTTGGTTCTGCTCGTTCACTATCTGCTTGCGCTCGCTCTACTACAGAGAATCCATTATGCAAGGTCACCCTTGCGCACCTGCTCAACTCGCTGATGAGCACCGAGCTCGCCTTGTTTTAACACTAGCTTTATCACGCCTGCTTGGTAGGAGTTCAGCATACACGTACACATTGGACTTGGCCACACTGGTTTCAGGCCACCCAGATCGGCCGTTCGTGAGGTCGACTATGAACGTAAAACATCACTCCTCATCCTCAGGGTCAAACACCGTGCTAACAAAACCGAACACTGAGGGGGGAGTAATGTTGGGATCAGGTCCAACACCCGTTTCGGGCCACATGCAGCAGGCCCAACTATGCACCCACAGGCCCAAGAGGGAGAGACATACCCACGTGGGTAGCACCACGTGGGCCAATGAGATGGTTACATGTACAGATGCATGTCAGCATTTGGGGCTATAAATACCCCCCAACTACCTCCGATGAAGGTAATTAATCTCTACATTTCTCTCTCTGCAATTACTCTTTCAGGAGCATCTCTCTCTAGAATATCGAGTATTGCTGACTTGAGTGTCTGAGTGTTTTCCCCGAGGAAATATCCTTGGGATTTTCAGGTGTGGAAGCTGCCGAAGACTTCAACAATGTTGGATCGTGAAGCTGCCCAAACATTAATATATAAATAATGTAAATTAAAAAATAAGAGTTATTTTTTTATATAATTTAAAATTAAATATATATGGGGAGGGGGAGGGGGGCAAGGACGTGACTCATTTCCAAGCAATAATTTTCATTCATCACGATATGTGTATTGCTGCTGGGGAAGAAGGATGAAATCAATGTTTTGAAAACCGAGCCGGAGGTTAGACCATTTTGACCTTCGGTTCTTGATTTGACCGATTTAATCAATTTAACCGTTCAAACCGCTGGTTTAATCCCATATGAATAAATATAATATGGTATGATGATCTAATAAGAAAAGTATAATGGCTGGGCTGGTTTGTCACTTCATCCATGGCAATGGAAACGTGTGTTCATGGCAATGGAAACGTGTGTTCAAACCTGGTGGGTATCAAAATGTTATTATCACATTTCTAAACTTTTCAAGTAACTTAATTTTTTAATTAATTTATATAAAAAATTATAAAGATTAATTTT